AATTCATGTCTCAGTATGTTTGTCCACTTGCTACTGTACCAAAACAGCTTTATTTCAACTGGATTTTTGCTCATCTGTTTTTAAAGGCAATCTTGATGGAGCACTTCCTGTCAAGCCTGTCATGTTTTCCTACCCAGCACAGAAATTAAGTATTTCAAGACTGAATTTATTAATACAGAAGGAGATGGGGAAACAGGAAGATTCTATAGCAGAAGCATGCTCCTACCTTAGCTCTCTTCAGAGTGCTGTGGAGTTTTGCATATAAAAGCAATCATATCAGACCTGTGTATTTTGTCATGTACTTGCTGTGTTAGTAAATAATAAGGATGGAAATGAGCTACGGGAGATGCTGCTGAAGGTTCTGAGCTATTGGTTCAGGATTTCTGCACAAACCACTTGCTGCTAGTTTGTACTGGGATGAATGTTTCTGCAGAATCTTGAAAGGTATCAAGCTTAAAAGGGCACATCGAGATGTATCTGTGATTAAATTGCTGTAAATAACCTTGGTGATACATGGTGCATTTTCTGAAGTGTAGCTGTTTCATCTCATATTATACTATGCTTCTGTTATTGTACTAGGCTTCTTGTGCTCTCCCATTTAAATCAACCATCCCTACCTCTGTGCAGCATAAGATATGCCTGTTTCTTTAAGTCATAAGCCACAGTGAATCAGTTTCTTACACTTCTCTTGTATATTATTTTGTTCTTTTTCCATTGACGATCTCTTACTTCATAGAATCACAAAATCATCTAGGTTGGAAGATACCTCCAAGGTCATCTAGTCCAACCTCTGACCTAACACTAACAAGTCCTTCACTAAACCATATCTCTAAGCTCTACATGTAAACATCTTTTAAAGACCTACAGGGATAGTGATTCAACCACTTCCCTGGGCAGCCTATTCCAATGCCTAACAGCCCTTTTCGTAAACAAGTTCCTCCTAATATCCATCCTAAACCTCCCGTGGCACAACTTAAGCCCATTCCCCCTTGTCCTGTCACCAGGCACGTGGGAGAACAGACCAACCCCCACCTCACTACAGCCTCCTTTAAGGTACTTGTAGAGAGCAATAAGGTCACCCCTGAGCCTCCTCTTCTCCAGGCTGAACAAGCCCAGCTCCCTCAGCTGCTCCTCATGAGACTTGTTCTCCAAACCCCTCACCAGCTTCATTGCCCTTCTCTGGACTCTCTCAAGCACCTCCATGTCCTTTTTGTAGCAAGGGGCCCAAAACTGAATGCAGTAATCAAGGTGCAGCTTCACAAGAGCCGAGTACAGGGGAACAATCACTTTCGTAGCCCTGCTGGCCACACTGCTTGTTATACAAGCCAGGATGCTGTTGGCCTTCTTGGCCACCTGAGGACACAGTTGGCTCATATTCAGCCGACTATCAACCAATACTCCCAGGTCCTTCTCTGCCAGGCAGCTTTCTAACCACTCATCTCCCAGCCTGTAGCACTGTTTGGGGTTGTGCCCCAGGTGCAGGACCCTGCACTTGCATAATCAATTGTAACTCTGTTTCACACTCTGTTGTCACTCTAAATATCTTAGCCTTCTGTAGGCAAAACTAACATTGCCTTTGATAGGATTTTTGGCTATAAAATACTTTTTGGTTGCCCAATTGCATCTGTCAGATTTAAACAAAGTTCTGAGTGAGTGGCTATGCAATGCTGTACAGAGGTGTCACTGACACTTCATCCTTGTGGGGTTTTCTGGGTAGCAAGGACTGTGAATCAGGCTGTAATGGGAGCATGAGGCCATGTCTCAAGCTTTTCTCCATTTTGTTTGTTGAGACATCTCCAAGGGCACTATCTGCAAATGGTCAACATGCTGAAAGAAAAAAAAAAAAAGCACAAGGAAAACGTGCAGCTTCCTGGGAAACTTAGGAAGGTGTTCAGATATGCTGAGCAACTCCCACCTGCAGTATCCATAGGAATAGCTGAGGTACTACCCAATTGATTTTCTAGTAGTATTTGGCCTTCCTAACCGAGTAAACAGTTATCCCAAAATACATACTTGTTACAGCCTGAGTGATACATGTCTATAGGGGAGAGAAAGCAAAATTGTGTTTTTTGGCAAGACCATACTAACTATATAAATGTTTCAGAGTTGACTGTACATATATATAATATTTTAAATACACTTGACTCCTTCCCCCTTTTGAAGGCTTATAAGTAGTCAGTTTAATTAGTTGTGCTTGATCTCACAGATTTCACTATGAGCAAATGCTATTCATCTAAAAGGTCAAGAGTGGTGTATATTATCTACAATTCTCTTATGCATAATTTAATTATTTACATATAAGTAGATGTTGTTTGAAATTCATAGATACTATTTTTCACTATTCACAGAATACCATTGTGCCTAAGCTATTTATTATTTAATAAAATATAAAACCATAAAATAACCTATTAAAATATTTGTGCACTCCTCTGTTTAAATATTTGATTATTGAAGAAGTCTAATGCTTTTCTTAAAATCTCATAGACTAATGAAAGAAAAAGTTAAAAGGGCTACTTTCTCCTCCAGAGATGCTCCAAGCACTCATTAGCTCTAATATGAATGATATGGTAAAACATTGAACTGAATGTCCCCATCTCCCTGACAAGGGGAAATAACACACCAATGCCTGTGACCTTTGCTCCTCCTCAGAAACATAGTATGTGTTTGAATTTTGTTTTTATTTCAGAAAGCCTGGTGTATTGAACCAGTTTAGCTCTTTCAAGTTCTTTTACAGGTCTAGTATGTGTCTGGAAAATGAAGAACAATGGGTTCTAAATGTGCATAAAAAACCTGCCCTCAGCTCACTCAGATTCCACTACAATCTCAATTTAAATGTACCTAATATTATACAGCAGTCTAGGAAAGCCAGAACCAGTTTGACTTGTTGCTATTTCTTTGTCTTTTCCATCTTCCTTTTGCTATATGTATGCTGACCACAAGTCTGCTGTCATCCATGTTCTGTCATACAGTGTTGCACTGTATTTTTGATATAATCTGGAACATTCACAACAGGCCCATTCATCAATAACTACATAATCTGAAAATTAGGGGTGTCTAAGAGTGTTTGTTCCTCTGTGAAAGAACTGGGAAGCAGGCTCCCCTTTTTTCAGAAAGTGTGGTTGATACACAGGGGATACATGAAAACTGATGAAAAATGAATTGGACAAATGATCAAAGGACCCTGCTGTCCTAATTTGTTGTTTTATGGCCAAAGTTTTTCTGCTGGTGCAACTGTGGATTCCCAAAACTAGTGTTTAAACTAGTCTGCCTTCCTGGATAAGCAGGAGAAAGCTTCATTTTGAATAGTGTGAAAAGTGGGATAGAAGCCATGTTCTCCTGTCACCTTTTGAGAAATGTCTTCCCTGATGGTACTGCAAATAGTGTTGTTTAGATCATATTTTGTAATTAAACTTATTTTATTTCTTGAACTGGTAGTGGGCAACAGGTAACTTTGCAGTGCAAATCATGTGGATGTAACCTAGAGGCACTGAAAGAGAAAGAAGTCAAAGAAAATATTCAGTAGAGTTGTTTAGTCTTAATAGATACATGTGAATGTATTTTAAAGACAGTCCAAAAGAAAAATAGGCAGTTGTCTGTCCTTATTTACACATGTTCTCTTTGTTCATCTTTTCATGCAATAGCTCAATAAGCTATATTGCACATTAATAAAGCAACAGATAGAGAAAGCAAAAAGAATTACGTGTGAGTTAGAAAGGACCCATACGACTAAGTGATGTTGAGATATGCAGCATATTAATTAATTCTATCATGTCTATTTTGTAAAATATGTAACTCATTGCTTCAACAATATAGTTTTGCAATCTACTGTTTGCCTGGGAGCATGTGCTTAAGTTTTCACTACTAGTCTACAATTTCATTTACTCAGCCAAGACGTATAAATTCATTTTCATAAATGAGACAGATTGCATCAACAGAAAGTGCAGGTTGGAAGTGAATTTTTCAATTATTTCAGTAATTCAGAATTATTTCAATATCGTAGGAGATGTGTGGTGTCATTCAGTCTATTCTTCTGTTATACCCACTCTGTATCACAGAAATGACCATGTATGTATTTTTGACTGATCTTTTTACTAAATATTCAGATTAAGTCTTTCAGTCCAAAAGTAGTCCTTCCAAAAAGTTTCAATAACACAACTTTGTCGATGCTTTCAAAAGTAAGGTTTTATTATGTAAATTAATAGTGTTTTTTTTTTTTTTTCCCTCAAAATCTATTGTAATGTTTATTATATTTTTAATTTTAAAATTACATGTTTGGGTTTGTTTTTTACTAACAAAAGTTTTTGCAACAGTTGGGTAAACATGCACGTTTTTTATTTAAAACAAAGCCACAACAACTCATTTTAGAAGTCATGCAGTTAAACAGTATAATATGAGTAGATTTTTGCAACCTCTTTTGTATCTTTCAAGTCATCCCTGATACCTTGATGTTTAGCTGCTTTAGTAACTGACACCCTGGAATTTACTATGTCTATTGGTATTTCTTCTGCCTGAACCATTTGCTTGAGCCAATGATTGAATGAGTCAGAAAGTTAAAATCTTGCATAGTTTAGAACAAGAACTTGCCTTGCCATTGTGATAGGAGCTGTGTTAACAAGCTACAGATGTTGAGTTAATGAATGTGTTTAATAAGCGGATGGGTGGTGGGAGTGGTTCTGCCTCCATACAGGAAGCAAAGAGAGCCCTGGGGAAGACAGAAACAGGGCTGTGCCTGATTGGATTGCTGCTATGTGGTACAACTTGGGATGGAGTAATTTACCAGCATGGAAGTGTCTTTGGATATTTTATTAAAATCTTATACTTGCTTGGTTTCCATCCTGTAATAAGTATAATTTGGGAATGTATTTAGGAAACTATGATAAAATATTTTGAAAACTAAAAAGACTCTCAGTAGAAAGACAATGACTGAGTTGAGCCTAGAGATTGAATAAGCCTTAAAATTGAAACAGTGCATCTAATCTTAATTGAATTTTGTTTTCTAGGGAATTCTGGTAGAAAAGATCTAAGAGGAAATCTTGCTGAATTGAATAGCAATGAAGAATTGCTACTAGGTGATGAGTCTGAAGATGCAACTGGCTGCCTGAAGCCAAAATGGAGGACTCTGTACCTGTAAGAAAGCACCCTCTTCCTGTGACCAGTGTCCTCCATTGTAAATTGGTGTATATGACCATGTTGGGTATCTGACCATACAACTGAGAAATGAGTGTGGTCTTGAAGACTGTGTAGTATATCTGTTTCATGTTGGGTGGAATAAACTTTTAATTTTTGTGTCTATCCATGTGTCATCACAGAAAGACGATAGTTTGAGTCTAACACTAAGAACTCATTAAACGGAGATAACTTGCTCTGCAAATACAATCAGTCTATCACTATAAACTATTTTTTTTTTTGGTAGTTTTAATACTTTATTTTTCCAGTGGAGAAAAGGTCACTATGGTAGTTAAATGCTTGGTGGCAATCCATAACATTCTATAGAACCTGTTAAGAGAATTGCCTGGAAAAACAAACAAACAAAAAATGTCAGAAAGGTGCTTACTGAAGTGTTGCCCTTCTTGAGGCACTGCAAGCAGCTCAGTTTAGGATCTTGAGAAGGTGGGAGGAAGTTGATTATTTCTAAGTTATAAGGTTATTTTTTTTTCTTCTCTTCCTCATGGGAGAAAAGAAGGAACAGTATGGGGCAAAATAAGTTGTAGGGGACACAACCACAACTTTCAGTAGCAATGTGGGTTTAGGTTTAGGAGAAAATCTGGGTAAAATCTGTATTCAAGATAGTTATTTAAATTAATAAGAAAAAAATTATTATTTTAAGAGTCATGGAATTTCTAGCAAGGTATTCATAACCTCCAAGCTTCTTGAACTGATTCCATGTTGTAATGTGATGAGTGAAACATTGAATAATCAGTCTGCCTTGTCTCTTTACAGAGCATGTGGACTTATAGAAGAATAGTAGATGTATCAATAATAAGTATTAAATCTAGAAGTGTATTATATTTGATGCTTGAATAATGAAATACAAGTTTGGATTCCTTGGCTGTGTTTTTAACTCCATTATTGATGTGGCAAAATGCACAACAAATTACTTCTCCAGTTTTCTTCTTAATTCAGGATTAGACAATTCTGTTACTAAATTGATGTTGTTGCATGGCACCAGATACTGTTGTATGACACTTACTAATCCGATTCATGAGATTGACCCAAGTCCAAGACAGTAGTACAGGATATAGTTCTGACAGGCTGAAACTGGCACTCTGAACTTCTCACATAGTGATCTACTGTAAGAACACGTCTCTTAGTGAAAAATAATTTATTTTTTTTTTTACTTTCAAATTATGGGACAACTTCTCTCAGGCTATATAAAACCAGTACTGAGAGATTCATATTCTACTTTGGAGGGAGATTTCATGTGAATGGATGCTTAGAAACACAGAGATTAAAAATTCAGGATACCATCTCCGTAAACTATAATTTGGAGAGCTGTGAGCTGTAATCAGTGAAATTACAAGCACACAATTACTGTTTTATTTATTAAGCTTAAATTTCAATGTACTGTTGCAAATTCATCTTGTTCTCCAAATAATATCAACAACTCATCCAATCCAACAGTTCTCATCAGGGCAGTATTTAAACTCAGTACTGTCAAGGTCCTATAGCAGGTACTTCTGGAAAGACATGAGGGCAGGAGCCTTGCTGTGTGAGGTTATATGCTGCAAAGTGTGGGGTGGGAGTCTATACCCTCCACTATGGCAAGTGGGTAGCACCAGCTGAGAAGTCACAGTAAAAATGAGATGGCATAGAAATGACACTACAGTGTCAATTGGTTACATTTTTAAACCATCATGGCAGGATGTGCAGAAGTTACATTTCAACCAAACTACAGACATGCATCTTTATTTAGATCTACCTGAAGCTGATGGATACTGTTATCTTCATAACACAGGTAAGGAAAGGGCCTTAATCTGCTGTAATCAGTGTTGGTTTCATTGGCTCAAACCTTCTACTGTTATATGGGTAAAAATTTATATGTATAAAAAAGTTATTGTACCTGGGTGATCATCACAGCCCTCTACTGCGTTTTCAAAACTGTCTGTAGATTTCTGCCTGATTGTGCTCCATAATGCACTTCCACTAATGTAAATTTAGCAGATGCTGGCACTTTAACCCATTTGAATAAAGTGACAGGCCTAACCTGAAGTAAATTAGCAAGTTGTTGTTCGTATGCAAACTTGAAATAATGCCCTCAGTTTTTTCTGATAACACCGTAAAGAACATTTCTGTTCACATCCCAAGGAATCATATTCCTAATAAAACTTCTTACAGTAAAACATCTATGTAGACCAAGCCTTAATGTTTGGCAAAAAATCTTTGGACTTCTCCCAGAAGAATGTCATTTCAGGTAGCACTGAAGAACACACTACGTTTGAGGGAACAGAGGAAGGTCAGAGAGGGTTTGTAATCACTGTCACAGGCAATCCTTCTGCTGTTGGTCAAAGATAAGGTTTGGTACTTTTGGAAACTAGTTATAGGATGTGCTGAGTAAACAAGACATTTAAGGTTGATGAATGCTTCTAAATACTTGGTGGTTTGTATTCTCCAGAAAGACTGCAAGGCCGGCCAAAGACAGAGGCTGCTCCAGGATGTCTGGCACACACAGTATTTGTAGTATTTCCTAAGACTGATGCACATGGGCAATTTGGTCTAATTGTGCTTTTTACCGAATGCCCATGTGGTTTGATTGTTCACTGCAGTCTTTTTAAAATACTTTTGAAATCCTGATCTAAAGGAGTTGGTGTTCTCAATTTCTTCTGCATACCTTAGTCCCTAGATTGTTACTTTAAAATTCCAAATGGACAACTAGCATTCATATGCAAACTAAATTAGGGGTTGAAGCATGAGAACATACCACTTTTTACATTCAACTTTCTGGCCTGAGAAATCCTCATGTGCACAAGAATATCTTGGAAGTGCTCCTAACTGAACCCTCTGGGAGAATAGTTAATCAGATATTGAATCAGCTGTAAGTTCTTCTGCCCTTTACTTTAGAAGTCTCATTTTAACAGGATGGAGGAAGAGTTCCAAGTGCAATTAAAATCTAAGATAAAGCCATGTGCATTAATTATGCTGCAGGTTTAAGGAATCCTAGGAAAGACCCCAACTAGTTTACAAGCTGCATTGTCATCCTCTCCTCCAACTCCAAATATCCACTTGCCCCATTATAAAAATGTTTCTGTTGTGATGAATAGGAATGTAGATGTTTGCAGAGCTAGATAGTATTTATTGTTTGGGAAGCATCAAACTGCGCAGTTAAGGACTGTTGTGATATAAATGCAGGGTTTGACATGAAGGGAAGAAGGAAATGCAGACATCACTAAAAGAATGGATAGGCTTGCTGCCCTATCAGTTCTTGCACTGAGTACCAGTGGCTTGCTTTTGCAGATTATTCACTTGAAAAGTATGCGTTGGGGCAAGTTTTGAAATTTTGGATGTGCTAATCAAGTGTTAACTTTTTCTCAGTTTTCTGAGGATGTGTTTGTTTCTTTGAGAAGTATGATTATGTTTGACTGTTGCATTTTCATGTTACACCTAAGGCTATCTGTTACTTTAATACCTACTATTTATTTTGTTTGCACCTTCTTTTGGTGGAGAGGTGTTTTAAATGGGCTGGAGGATGTTCTAAGTGATGGAAATTACTAATTCAGAATGTTTACATTTTTTAAGCTGTGCCAGTGGCCTGATCCCAGGTGTCCTGTATCCTAGAATTTAATTCTGTTTGTCTAGGATGCCAGTTGACTTTGTAAGGCTTTCTAAACTTGGCCTATGTGAATGAAACCTGATCTAGTTTATATTTTATAATGACACACTTTTCATGTTCTGATTTTCTGCTTTGAAATAAGTTTCCATTTTTTCTCATCTGCTTTCATGAGAATTTTCAGATGATATTTATGAAAGTGCAGTTTGGAACAGTTAAATTACATTTTTGTTTGGTGTTAGAGGCATTGTAAAATGTTAGTATGCCACTCATGGAGGATGCTTTGTGGTCAAGGCAAGTGCCTCTGCTTTGATTGTGTGCCTGTGGAATCTTGTTTGCTTGATCTTGAGTCTTGAGGACATTCCCAAGAGCAAGCAAAACTGTTGAATGCTAACGAGTCTGTGGTCTAATTTAATGTCCTTCTAAAGCTCTGTCCTTAAAACTGTTGAGCAGCTTTTTTTTTTTTTTTACTTTCTTGCCTTTTTTTTTTTTTTTTTCCTCCACTTGATTTGGTTGTTTCCATCTCTCCAGCATTTCCCTTACTCCTCTGTGGTTTTTCTTAGCTGTAGCTTACTTATTATTTTTGTTGCTCCTGATCAAGTACCATCTTTCTTATTTAACTTGGTGAAACTGGCTTCAGCTAGTCTGTAGCAGTGGAGGAACACAGACATTCCTATTTGCTGCATGCAAAATTATGTGCGCATGTAGATGTAATCAAATGCTCAAATAACCAAATCTCTTGTGTAGTGCATATGTAACAATTCAGAGGCATATGTATATAATATAAACTTTGGCTTCCTGTCTTTGTCAGGATGGAGATAATTCAATCATGTTCCATTGTGACTGTTTTTAGCTAAAGAGACAAATAGAATGACTTTCTGCAAACAGCATTAGTGACAACAATATCAGTAAATGTGCTCAGTGCTGGTAGTAATCAAAGGCTATTGTAGAGTACATGTATTTTTCTCAACAGTTAAAACAATTTGAGGAATGGAGAACATGCTATACCATTAGAGAGTTTCATCTTGAGATAATTTGGTTACAATATATTATTCCTCTGAGTGCAAAATTGTTTTAATCCAGCATAAAATGGTATAACATTTGAGAGCTGAAACTAGACAGATTTAGATTAGATGCTAAATGTAAAATATATAAGGGGGAGGGGGATATTAGCAATTGGACCAAGCAGCTGGAGCTCTGGGGCATGGTGGATTCTCCACTGAAATTTCCAAGGTAACCCTTAAAATCTTGTTTTAATCACATACTAGTTATTTGGCTTATTTAATTGTCTGAAATATATACATGGAGATCAGCATGCGTGACCTAGTGATTTATTTTGCCTTTAAATTCTGTGAATGAGAGT